TGACCCTGGTAAAGGTCTCTTAAGCATTGTATCATAGGACGCACTTCCATGTCCGCGTGGAGCCTTTGGAGCTCCGCGGTCATACTGGCCATAATGATACACTTTACATCTCGCGCGTCGTCCTCATACTTCTTGAAGGAAGTGAGTTCGAACGCACGAGCATCAGCATCAGGGGTCTTGGGAGGATCCGTTTCGAGGATGTAGAGTTTCCTCTCACAGTCAAGAATGATCCGGAGGTTCATCTCCCAGTCAAGAAAGTTGGTCCTGGATAACTTGTTGTTTTCCAGGATGTAACGCAGGTTAAAAGGGTTGTTGTTGTTTGCCATCTACAGAAAATTTTGCAAACTAGGTTATCTATCATGTTTAATAATTAATTAGGCCTTTAATTAATTATCTCCCACTATTTTTAACAAATCAATAACCCTCGATATTGATTCGGAGATTTCCGGCGAAACCTCTAGTGGGCCAAGATCCATATTTCATTATCTTGCGTTCCGCTTGAGCGTTACTCCACAAGACAACTATTTAGGTAGGAACATAGTTCCAACTGATGAGCCGGGCTCTCAGCTCTTGGTCTGGTGTTGGGCGAACAATATTACTACAACCGGACCAGGACACCTTTTCACCGTACTTGTAATTGGCTGAGGCACGTCTTACAAGCAGACTACTTTTGTTAGGAATAGAGTTCCAATTAAATCATAAAGATCCAACTCCTGGCTGGATGAGTGAGTAAAATCATCCGACTTGTCATTGATGACCCCAACTTACTGCCTCTGGGTCGTCCATCCATTTGACCGAGACTCAGTTAAGTCCAACCCAACGTGCGACAACGACCACGCTATGGCGGTTCCCGTAACCAGCTTAACATACACCGTACTATGCTCTGCTGAGGCTGAGTACATGACAGTGCACATTAGCCGGATAGGTGCCGGGCGTCAGAAGGCGACAGACTTAGTATTCGTGAGGGATTTATAATTTCGATCTCACCTATCGACATGGCCGCGCACATGTCCATTACTAGCGTTCAACATACATTCAACATGCATTCACAAAACGCAGTAAATAAACGTGTAATGATTGTGGCCGCTAAAAGAAAAATAAAACGATAGCTCCCACTGGCTTCCGGTCACTTGGACTTCGGGCTATCTCCATTCTTTTAGATTTCTTCAAACGGTCTTCAAATCTTTTCGTCTTCTAACCACCACGTAAGAAAAGAATCCTCGGTTGAGGTAAGGGAGAGAAATAGATTTACAACAAGAGTTTATGAGATAAAGTACGACATGCAGGCCGTATTATAATCAAATAAACTATAGCCACAATCATCCACCGCGCTCACCCCAGACAGTTCTAAAAAAATACTACGGCAGTAAATATTTTCTAAAACTCATAAAATTAAATTAGATGTCCAAATAAATCAAATAAAATTTTATACAATCATTTTATATAATCTGGATATTCGGCTAGCATAAAAAAATTCCAGAATATTTCAAATGACCAAAATGCCCTTTTGCAAAATTATATTCAAAAGGCCATTAATATTTTGAAACAATTTTGCAAAAATCATGAAAATTAAATTTCAACTTCCAGTAGTTATTTTTAACATTTATAAACCTGGAAATAAAATTTCCAAAATTTATAAATCATTATTTCCAAAATATATTAGTTAAATCTCAATAAGTTATAAAAAGCCATTTAAATTGATTTCGAAAATATTAAATTACAAAAATTTAATATTTTGAAAAACATTCTTTTTCTTACTGAGATATAACTTTCCAAAATATATATTAGTCATTTATGTAATTAAAATACAAATATATAAATATATATAATATTTCGGTAATAAAACCGAGTACATATATAAATATATATTTA